CAAATAATTACTGTTTTTAAAACACTTATAACATTGGTAGAAAGAATCAAAAGAACAAAATAATCACACACTTGAACACATACGAATTAGTCTATGGATGATATAGAATGTCATATAAACATTGTTATCAAGTAAAAGAAATACGACTACGGAATAGCGAAGAGAAAGGCTTATTCACATAAACACATAGGAAATGTATGTAATGACCAACACTTTGTGCTGAAAATTCTATAGTGTACTACACATCTAATATTGAACAAAGTCAATAATAATAAACAAAAAATAAGATTTAGTATTACCTAATCACGAGCTGAGAAATCGTCAAGCACTTCTTTTGGCAAACAAGAAACATACGATGGCAACCAATCGGCGACAGGAGTAGCAAGTATGCCTCGAAGATTATCATGTTTAGCATTCAGATCGTATTTGTAAGACTGTCCAGTTAAATCTGTTAGTATCCCACCAGATGCCAGAAGCACAGCTTCTGGAGCACATGTATCCCACTTTTTAGTACCTTGGCTAGGGAATACATAAACATGAGCACGTCCTTCCAGAAGCACTAGAACTTTATAACCACACCCTCCTACACGAAGAACCTATGAAAAGAAAAAATAAGATATGGGATTAAACAATGAGATAGCATAACAAATACTGCACGAGTATATTTCGGATTTTAAGGATAAAACTTGTGCATAAACTCTCACATCCAAAATAACCAGTTTCATTACTAAAAATACATGAAATTAGAACCGAACTTGCATCATTAAAAAAGTTTCAAGATACAGAGAGTCAAAAACAAGGTTTTGAGCTACATAAAGTGAAAGCTTATCGACAGATCCTACTTACAGCATATTTACTGAATGGCATAAGATTTTATACACAATAAAGAGAGATCAAGAAGTCGACATTTTGATAGAAAAATGAGAAGACTAAGTTGGTCTGAAAAACGGTTCGTATTTGGGCAGTTACACCTCGAATAATCTAGTCACATATACTTGTCAAGGCATCTTAAGTGAAAATTAATAAGGGTCAAATAAATGACGGTTCAAGTAAACAAAGTAATACTTTAAAGAGAAAATTAACATAGTATGGAAAGAAGGGGAAATCATCGCATTATTCGTGCAATGTCTAGGTTTATTTGGAATCATGGGATTAGTACCTCCGATCATGATCAGTTTAGCAGCGTAACATGTCTTCGATGGCTGATTTTAGTTTCCGTCCTAAAATCATACTGTTAGATTCACTTCCAAATAGTAGAGGTATGTTAACACTTTCCTTCGCAACAGAATTAAAGAGATTTGGTGTTGACTGACTATTGCACTTATTTATAAACTCCAGTGGATAACCGTTTGACATCACTATGTCAGTCAGCAATTCCGCATCTTCTTCAAACATATCTGCAGCACATATGTTTTGAGTGCTGTTAGAGAGGCACTTACGAAGCTTCGCTCGTGTTACAACGGATAAAAACTGGAATTTTAAATATTGATCGCTCCATGTTGGTTTTCTATATACTGACCGCATTATAATCCCAACCTCCCATCAACTCAAAAGTACGTCTAAAAAGGATGATCTGTTATTACTTTCTTCCTCATAGGTCAGTGCGATATCATCCTGTAAACTATCAAGTTTATCTAATGACTGAGCACTATCGAAATTATTATCACACATAACTAATCCATCATCCACGTATCTCTTATGAAGTTACCTCACTGATGAGCTCGTTTGTCACACTCTCAACATATGACAAATACACTAGCTAAGAAAGGTTCCAAAAGACTACCCATAGCAGCACCATCAACTTGTCGAAGATGTTCACCTTTAAACATGAAGTTTCAGAGTACACAACAAAAGTAAATTTTTCAAGTGTTGACCGAATAGGGAAAAGGGGAACATTCGTAAAAACAAGGTATACATCAAAAGAATGCATGGTCTTTTCTTTAATAACAAAACGATCAAGAAGGTCAGTTAGTTTAAATGTATCTTTTAAGGGAAACTTACACAATTTATTGCTCATTGCCCCCGAATGCCAAGGTACGGCAGAGGGCGGAGAGAATCACCTCCCCAAAAATACTCTCTCACATGGTCACGTGTATACAGACACTCCTACGGAGCTCCTACTCACTGAATTCTCGTGACGGGAGTGTTTACGAAATTGAGAGGGTGAAAAGCGAGTGTTTGGCGCTTTAACCGGGTTGGTGGACACGGAGAGTCCACCTACGGGAGTTGGAAAACCCTAATTCTAAACCAGTGGTGCATATGGGCTCCAGTATCCTGAGGGGACAAAAGGCGTATTAACCTATTACTGGTCATCGGCTACCATGGGAGTGCACTCCTAACGTTGCTCCGCTGCCTTGTGGATCAGACCTTCAGGTCGATGGCTCCGGATGTGGCCCCCTAAGAAAACCACCTGCTTCGGTTTGGACACCCGAGCAGTATCATAGCCCACACACAAATCAAGTGACTTGTGTGGCACATATGTATTCGGTGCCCCTTTGTACCAATATTTATGTTAAAATAAATAAATAAAAATACATAAATATTGCGGATTAGGTTTAGAAATTTAGCTAGCTATTTCGCTAGTTCCTGTGTAGGTTAACGACATATAGATAATATTAGTCATAGTAAATTACTACGTTTACGATTTTCAGTTAAACTATATAAACTCGAAAGTACAGAACCGAATGGTTTTTAGCATATCAAACATTTCAGCCCGACGAAAATGGGAGGTTTATCAAGACTATTAAGCATAAAACGCCAGTGGAAAAAACAGAAATAAACTACAAGGTTTTCAAACTAATACTATTTGCTAGCATGTTTTGCTCTGATTTACAAATGTAGATCCTTTAATATGTTTTACGAAGATGTACTCTTGAAACTACAATGGGATGACGTAGAAAATCTAGAATTATTTCCCGACACCGATACAGTTGAACTTTTCTAGTCACAATGGTTTCAATATATTTTACGGAATTAATAATAATTTGACTATAGACATGTCTCAAACGGAAAACTTAACACATAATGTAAGTTTAATATTCGCTTTTGATTCACAGATTACTACTAATGTTAACAAAACAAGCAACAAAAGGGTTTTCTCACAAAATTAATTTTGCTTCTGTAAATAAGCGAAATATGTAAATTGGAAATTGGTGGAATGCATAAATATCGTGCTTAAAGTACTTGGGAACGCATGTATTCATGTATGCATTCATCACTAGTGGTGACCAACTGGTTGTAAACACGAGCTCGTAAAGTAGCTCATGTATAATAATAGTACACACCACACATAAGAAAACTACGTAAAAACTAGAACAACAATTACTTACTTAGCTACGCCTGCTAACCCTCGTGGAGAAGCATAGGTCGTGCACCAACATTCTCCATCCAACTCTGTTCTTTCCAGTTGCTATTCATCCTTTTGATGTCTGCTTCTAATTCCCGAAATAATGTATTTTTTGTCTTCTTCTTTTATGTGTCCCTTCAGAATTCTAAGTTGGAGCTTGCCTACTGACGCAGTTTAATGGTTTCTGCAATGTATGTCATACATACTTCCAGCGTCTTTTCATAATTTCCTCTCCAGATGGAAGCTGGTTTGTTCTCTCCCACAGTAAACTGTTGCTGATGCTATCCTGCCAACTTGCATTGTGTACCTTGAGTAGACAACTGGCCTATCCAAGAGTTCCTCAAAATGTTCCACCTATCTGTTCCTCTGTCCCTGAATCTAAGTGATTGGCTTACTTTCATTGTCCATGACCGGTCTCTCTGGTTTACTATATTTTCCTGCTAGTTTCCTCATTGTATCATATAGCTGTCTCATATTTCCTTCACTTACAGCTTTTTCCACTGTTGTTACTAGGTATTCCACATATTTTTGCTTGTCAGTTCTAATGCTTTATCCACTTTCCTATTTGCTTCTGTGTATTCAGCTTGTGCATTGATTCTCACTGTTCTTGTTCGGCTGTTGTTAATTGCTGTACTTTCGTTCTTCCTTTCCTGAATCTTATCTAGGGTTTCGATGGCGATCTATTCATTATGTTGATGCTTCTTGCGGCCCAGAATCTCCTGACATGTTGAATTTAGTGATTATTTGATACCTTTCCAGTTTTCCTCCATAGTAGTTTCTTCTTCCCTTAGTAGATCCTGTAAGGCTTGAAATCTGTTGTTGAGAGTTATCTTGAATTGATTGAGTTTGTTAGTATCTCGAAGGGACGATGCATTAAACCTTTTTAATGCTGTTTCCCCAGCTGTTCAGTGTTTTTTTAGCTTCAGTTTCATCTTGGCCACCACCAGGTGGTGATCTGAAGCTATGTCAGCTCCTCTCTTGGTTCTTACATCCTCACTTATCCTTCGGAATTTTTTATTGATACAAATGTGATCTATCTGATTCTCCGTGGTGTGGTCCGGTGAGACCCATGTAGCTTTTTGTATGTGTTTGTGGGGAAATATTGTACAACCTAAAACCATTTTGTTGAACTCACATAAATTTCCAAGTCCCTCGCCATTCTCATTCCTATCTCTCAGTCAGTTCGTGTCATCCGATGATATCCTCATAAACGTTGTTGTCCATTCCGACTTTGGCGTTTAAGTTTCCCGTTAGGATGGTCAGGTTCTTTCCTGGACATTTCACTATGAACGAATGCAGCCTCCTGTAGAACTGATCTTTATCGTTGTCACTGCTATAATTGGTGGGTGCATAACACTGGATAACATTCATTGTGATTGCCTCCTTTGTTTTGAATGACGCTTTGATGATCCAGGATCCATGATTCCCGTCCTACAAGTGCGTTAGGTGCTTCTTTGGACAGCGTCAAAGCAACTTCTTGAGTGTGAGGAGCATTTTCCTCTCCGTGATCAGAGTACAGCAGCATCTCTTCCGAATATAACCTTTCCTGTCCAGCTTGGAATCAATGGGTTCCAATGATTACAAGCACCGTTAAAGTTGTATCTTCTCGTCTCCGTTTCTATTTGTCTGGTCTTCCCAGTCTTCCACATTGTCCGAAAGTTCCATGTACCTATAAATCTGTTTCTCTGGTTGTTAGAAGAGTATCAGCCTCGTGAATTGCAAAGAATTTCGGCTCCCACTATGAGGCTTCATAACTCTTCAAAATGAAGACCTTTCAACTCCCAGGGTAGAGTTTAATAAATTATTTGATTTTAAGAGCGATACAAAGCATTTTACACCCACAATTACAGCTCAATATCAAATATTTGAGAACTATGTGATATGTAAAAGTGTTGAACATACCTACACAAGAAATTCAAAAAATGTATTGTAACAATACAATAATGCTTACTTCAGTGGGATAGAATGCTCCGTCGACAAAATCCTGAGTAGTAGAGCGATGGGATCGAGTAACCACAATAATATGAGGTGAAGTAAGTTTTTGGGCATTTTGGTTGACTGGATATGGCAATTTTGAAGAAGGTACCAGAGGATTTATGCCAAACACACCCAGACCTACAAGTCCCCAAACGATTCGAGTTGTGTAGTGCGGCTCAGTTGTATTGGCTTTGTAAAAGGGTTGAGCGATAACACCACCCACAGGCTTTCCAGCAATCGAAATTCCGATAAGAACTGTAACAAACTCAACAAGGCCCTGTATTTAGAAGAAGCACGTACACAGGGAAAATTAATTTTACTTAAGAGTTTAAAACCATGAATGGACATCTACTGTTAGTATGTGGTTGTATTTTACTTGATATCATGAATAAAAATCAAATAGATAAACATACTTCAGTAAATTCCTTTGTACCATCCAGTGGATCCACCCAAACTACAATATCCTCCAGTGACAAATCTTTTAGTTCTGGAGGACAGTGGTGTTCAAGAACAGTTGAGTTTAACTCAGTGGACGTAGATAGATTTCCAGGATCCAGATCACCTTCTTCGCCTATTTTTCGAGTTATTAGAGTAAACATTAAAGATACCAATAACATGAAGACCCGGGAAGGTCTCGTTCAAGGATTGTACTATGCACCGCTGAGAATCTCGATCAGCTCTGGATTGCAAATCGTCAACTCCTTTGTCGATAATGGCCAAGTCTTTGGAATCATATACCGCACGAATCAAAAAACAGGCCTTATCGGCTAAAGATACAGAGGCAGCAAGTATTCTCATGACAAGAGGGGGCTGCATATTTCTTTGAAATGAAAAAAGATTGAATTATAAGTTGATAACCATACTTACAAAAAGCTACTAAGGAACCAGATTAAAGTTTATGAACGTCTCAAGAGCAAAACACATTGTGACTGAAGCAAAGCAACACGAAGTCTCTGGTGTATATTTAGTGCTGCGAATTACAGACTTATTCGTTAGAAAAATACACTAACAGCAAATCCCTTTCCTTTAGGAGTTGGTCAGTTATAGGCAACGTAGAAACCGGTACATATGTCCATCGGCTTCAGATCAGTGAGATGAAACTGTCTAGATAAATACTAGAATATCGCAGTCCATACATACCTAAAAAGGAGATAAGCAACTTCTACACAATATATTCGCTGCTTGGATGCCATACGGACAACCTACGCAACACGTAACCCGAAAATACAAGAGTCTTGTGAACTTGTATCGAATCTTCACCATACAGCAAATACTAGGATCGATGACACTGAAGTTAAATAAAGTGGATCCAGTGACAAATCAATCCTTGAAAAACCGGTTACAAGAAGCATTATCTGCAGAAGGATACCTATGATAGCGTCAGATGGAAGTTTCGATGGTGAGTACGGTAAAAGTAGTAATCTGGTGAATACCATACTGAATAGATTTAATAAGTTGGTGTAAATAACTGTCTTTGAAATTTTCGCAAAATTAATGACACTGAGTAAAGCACTATGGAAAAAATGATAGCAAATGTTGAGATCAATTTCGTGAGTTCGGTAGTGTACAAATGCCAGCCAGAATTAATTGGTGATCAATGGTAACGTGGGCCATCCTGATCAAATGCCATATCTGACACAGATACTCTTAAACAAGGTATCCAGCCAGTATTAAGTACCACAATGTTGCGACAAGGATCATATTAAATAAGTTAGCTTAAACAGAAAAGTAAAGTCATCCAAAAACTCTTTAAGTATGTATCGAATATATGAGTGATTTTCGCAGACAAAATGACCTAGAAGCTAATACTTTGAAGGACAAGTGGAGGACTGAATCAGCTACAACATAAAACCAGAGCATTCACAAGGTTTATGTACTTCTGAGGAACACTTTTCAATGACAACTGACACAGAACCTCTCGGTCTACAGAGTCAAATGCTGCTTTTAAGTCAAGATAAACTTTCATTGTCGGACGCCGATAAGTATGTCTGTGTTCTAAGATCTGGCGAATGGTGAATATGTGGTCGATGCAGCCACGACCACGTTTGAAGTCAGCCTGATTTCCTCGTGTTTGCAGTTCACGAGTTTTAGTTAGGCGTCCGACAACAATTGAGGCTGGTATTTTACATGCTATATTAGTTGAACTAGCCCCTCCATGGTTATCACAGGATGATTTTGACTCCTTCTTATATATTGGGACAATCAGTGATTGCAACCAGTCAGATGGGATTACATACAACTCCCAGATTTTAGCTAAAATATTAATCAACCTAATCGCTAAAATTGGACCACCTTACTTAAAGACCTCTTGAGCCAATCCATCTGCTCTTCCTCGTTTACGACTAGCTACAGCTTTTTGAACTTCAATTAGAGTCAAGGGCCTATTTCAATGTTCCGTTCAGGATGTTTAAAAATGGTAGGTAGCTGTGAAATAGTTGGAAGCAAGCCCAACTTCTCCTTAAAGCGTTTCCTCCATCGTTCTAAACCTCTGTACTGCGAGCAGATGAGAATGTTGTCTTTTTCAGAGATTGTCTTACACTTGACTTCTCAATTTCGGTTTCCTTTATTAGTCTGGAAAGCTGCCTGGTGTTACCTACAGTCGCTGCCATTTCCATCTGTTTTGCTTTCGTTGCCCACCACTGCTCACGATCGTTCCATAGACTTTGAGCTAACCTAGATTTGATTTGTTTTCGCTCATCATCGTGTTCGGAGCCTGATGGGATAAGTTTACGAGAGTCTAGCAGTGCAAGAGATGTAGCACAAATGCACTGGTTATTCGTGGTCCTTTGTTTCAAATCACTAGTAGATGTCACTGCTGTTTGTATATCTTGCTAAGCAACATCCAGGTCGGCCTCGTTTTCGGAATTGCCTAAGTTGTTCCTGGAATCTACTTTTGACTTTCTCGTCACTGAGTTTAACTCGAATGAGTCTTCTTAATGTGGCTTTACCGTGTCCAGTGAAGCACAAGCAAATACGTGCTTGTATTAGAACATGATCGGAGTCCAAGCATGTATTCCAGAACGAGCAGTAGTCTTCTTTCGAAACTCAACGATGACTGATGGCAATATGGTCTAGTTGAGTCCATCGTTGGTTTGGTGCAGGCGTCCGCCATTTTAGACGATGTCCCTCCTTGTGCTTAAAACTAATGCTTGTTAAAAATAAACGATTGTCTGGGCACAGTTGCAGCAGACGGTCAACAAGATATCAGTATGCAGCACTTGTTCACTAAAATCTCAGTGATACCCAAGCAGATAGTTATTGCTCGGAATTGTGACGAAACGTAATTATGTGATCTCAAAAATTCTTTATTTTAACCGGTTGAAGCCTACTATCTTATCATAAAACGACCCGGGGTGATATTATAAATCTGAAATTGTCTAGTAGTTTATAAAAAAACCATTAGATACCATATGCCATATATACCATCTATTTTTCTCTTCTCTCATAAAAGATATTTACGACATTTTGTAGGTGCAGGTGGTAGTTAAGGAGTTTGTTACTCTGTTTAGAGAAAATCCGGAGTCAAATTACAGTTACCAACACGCTCGTCCTGCTAAATAGTCAAAAGGAAGACAACTACGTGCCAGACTATCATACTTCCTGAACCGTTATTGCTACAACATTAAGCTTATGTTTGTATTTATATACGAAGACCCAACCACATTAGTTGTAAATTCTTACAAGGATGCATTGGCGCATGAAAACCACCTAAAACTTGAGCAAACTAAACAGCTAGGCTTCACCAATCCTACAAAACTCTACATTAGAGGCAAAGGAACGGTGGGAAAAACTTAAATGCAGGTTAAAGGATAATGATTGATGCATATGCAACAGTTTGCGTCTGGCTGGAAGATACCCTATGTGCAAGTGAAGTATTTTGAGTAGTTTGAGTGGAGAGAGCTGGAAGAAAAACTGGAAAAAATATGGATGACCCGGAAAGTGCACGTTGGATTTTTTCAAAGCCGTCGCCTCGTTTCAACGACCTTGAACGACCTGACTGGAGGCGGTCATTCCGTATTTCTATTGTCGTGGGTTGTTTCTGTTGCATGAATATTACGTTTTCTAATATTTAAGTCGTCTTTTGCTGTATCAAAAACACAAAATAGCTGCCAAAAGCAATAATTTAGCAGTCTCTATTTTGTAGTGCACTCAGGAGGTATAGATCCTCGAAGTTTGTGTGAATCGCTGTTAAACTCAGAAGTAAAGACGAAATATCCAGTAACCGGTAAGACTTAAATATTTGTAGTACTTTCTTCAGTTAGTAAAGAATTATTGCAAGAAATAACTGTTCTAATAATTGATAAGTGCTTCATGTTCAAGAGACATTTCAGCTGACGTAAGCGAGGCGTTTCAACGTATAATACTGAAAAGGCGTTTAGCAAGCTGGATTGAATTTGATGTTGCGCCAAAGGAATTCCAAAAAGTATGGAAAATATTTATATTACTTCTCAAACTACCTATACTCATTTCACTCACGCAGAAAGTATAGTACTGAAGGACATGAGATTTAAATACTTGTTTGTGATGTTTCATTGCACATTTGGTCATAAACGTAAATCAGTAGGTCTGACAGTGAATCAAAAACCGTAAGAACTTTAACTAATATGTGACGTTTAAGATTCACCTTTCTAAACTACCAATCAAGGTTCCGCGTAAGATTGGAAGGTGAATAATATGTCATAAAATCATGAGGATACTTCACACCCATCCATGTAGTAGTTCGCGGATAGTTCGGCACATAAAACTCCTAAGGAGAACGGCCTATCCACACACGCTTTGGTAGCGTTCTCTTACAAGAATTGACTAACCGAAAACTTAATAATCGCAGATTTTCCCCACCGTTTTGTAGACGGGTTTCTAGTTCAGATAGTGCCGTCTTCCTTTTTATTCTATCTTCAAGAGGCATATCAGGTCTTACTCTGATGTCGGTATTGTCGTGACTACGAGCGCCACTTAGCAGAAGATCACGTTGCTTCTCCGATCCTAGGATTACCTTAAGGAGTCTGGGTGATCGGGGTTCAAGATTGTCTTCAGTCCTCTTGCCTATTCTAACCAATTTTTTGACCTGAACTCCTTTAGAGTTATCCGGTAAAATACTACGAATATATTCTCCTAGCTTTTCCAAACCATGCCCTTGTCTACTTTTGGGACCGGGATCGAAATCATTTGATTCTGGCAAATTACTAACAACAATATTTTATAAGATTAGGCTTTCTCTTGATACAACAGGGTAGATTTCCTTCTTGCTTTCAGACTTTGGTAGTGTATTTTGTGAGACATAATGGGAGTCCACCAATTACTTGTCAACCGAGTGGGTACCGCCTTTGGCTTTTGTGCTTCCACTTCTTTGTCGGGACTATCAAGAACAGTGACGGGTTATTCGAGTATTAAATTTTTACTGTAGAAGCATGATTATCAAGTGGCATTTCACTCCTCGTTTGTTTCCAATTAGATTATACTTCCCCATCAATCACAGTCGGCTGTTTAGCACGTTTCGCAAAAGCACATACTACACTGACATATTCTTTCACTTCAGTACTCATGGTACCAGCCCAGTCAGCACCGAGGTAATAGAAAACGGGCTAAAATATTGCGTTGAATGTATAAATGATTGTGCAAACGGAAATGATTTAAAGGATTTGAAATTTTAGGAATGCGTATTTTAGAATTTAGTAGAAAAACTGTGAATAACAACTGGCTTTTTGTCAAAGTTATTATAACTCATTTCTCACAGACTGAAATCATGAGTCAGTTGAAGCTAGACCACCATGGAAAACCTGGAAGCACCGGACGGCCGTTTCGCCCTAGTATGGGACTCCTCAGCAGTGCGCATCCACGATCCCGCACCCCACGAGATTCGAACCCAGAGCCTATCAGTCTCGCGACAGGCGCTTAACCAACTAGACCACTGAGCCGGCATCCAATGGTGTTAATATCTAACTCCAACCAATTCACAAAGTTGCACCACCGTCCACCAATGTCTTCAGTGAGCTGATATCTCTCATGATTTCAATTTGTGAAATTTCTAAAATCTCCACAAACCCCTTTTGATAATAATCATCTGCTCACTAGTGACTGACTTCAAGAGATATTCCTGGAGTTCTAGTGAGAAGCCGTTACCAGTGGAGTTCAACCAGGTCTGTTGTGAGATATCAGCTCACTGGTCTAGCTTCAATTGACTCATGATTTCAGT